CTACCAGATCTTATCTCTCGGAATTTTCCTGGACGCATTGGATATCTTCCTCCTCATCCAGTGATATCCCGATCACACCCTGATCTTTTCGCCGCATTGCTGCTAGCCGGGAGAAAAAGCTCTGAGCTTGGTTCTTTGTAAGCTACTGTTCTCTAGTGAACAAATGTGCATTTGATTCATTTTTCGCATTTCGCATGTCCACTGCAACTTGGGCGGGGTCGGCCTTTCGCCCAGTTCTTTCTCCAAGTGTAAACCGTGCCGTTAGGTATTCTTTTACCTTCTCTGAAAATCTAACGCTGCCCCTTGGTTTGCTTACGGCCTATCCTGTTCGTAAAGACGAGTGGGGCGAAGTATCCACGGGAGAAGTGAGTGGTGTACTAGAATCTAACGAACAGCTCGAACACTCGATACCAGCGGTATCTATCGACGAGAACTTAAGGGCCCAGTCCCTTTTGATTGCATCATACTGGCTTTAACCTGCTGACTGTATGCTTTCCAACGTCCAGGTGCAGCTCCAGCTGCGAAAAGGTTTCGAACACTTCAACACATCCAAACACAGAGCATTCAAACAATGGCGTTGTACTCTCTGTTTCCTTGCTGCCCTTTGAACGACGCTTGACCACACGCTTTTCAGGAGGATCATAAAACTCTTGAGACTCTATGGTTTGAAGGGACGTTTGACCTTGGTGCTTAATATAAATTACGTCATATGGAATGAACTTCCCTTTACCGATGCCATAACATTTCCAAACTCTCAGACCGATATCTCCATATTCGAATCGAAGTTGTGGAAGCTACTAAAATGCTCGATCTTATTTATACAGAGTGTTCTTTGATTCGTCTACTATTCTTACTGCAGCTGTTGTTCCCTTCACTGGGTGTTTCGTCAATGCGTATCCTCTGTCCAATGAAAGCTTTAACAACCTCGCTGAAGACTCGCTACAGACTGAAGCCTCTCTGGTTTCGAAAAAGCACTTGCATGCCATACTACACTTGCAGGCCTTCCAAAAAAAAATAAAGGGTTAGCGGGTTTACCCGCAATGATTAATGCGGACCTCTGTTATGCGCGATAGTGCAATCGTTCAGCGTTAATTCCAAAACGCCAAACTTCGACACATAGACTTACAAGTGGAGTTCTATGACTGATTCTTGAAGAGAATGCAGCTGCAATCCAAAGTTTCAACGGGCCATTAAGCGCGAAACATGGCTTTAGTTTTCGAGTTTAGTTCGCAACAACGAGTCAAAGAAGAGTATCGACAGATGCCAACCGCTTAATTTTGGAGGTATTTGCTGGAGTTATCATAAAGTCCAGTTCACCAGTTTGGGAAGCGAGGAATATCTAAAACATTTCACATAAACCCATGATTTCTCCGGCTATTGACAGGTTGCTGTTCTGTGGACACAATCGACGCGGAACCGAGAGAAGCAAGCTCAGGATATTTGAAATTGATTTATTAATTATATGATATCAAACTCCAGGTAAAAGCATTTATTCTTTTCATCCAAAATTTTTCTGCCTAAATATTACATTGGGATACAAAACAAAACCATATGGCACAACTTACGGCACAAGCTATCAGCGGTCTTCTCTTTTGTGCGGACCTTTGTGAGAACAGTATAACATCGAACTGGATCTAAATTTAAGCGATTATTTCTTCACTTCAGGAGCCTAAAACCTTCATTTCTCCCTCAGCTCCCTGACATGGAGAGTTTATATTCTGATTTTGGAAAAAATTCAGCTCTGCAGCGATGTTAAATGGGTGATTCACCGCAGAATGTGGCCAATTCCGGCATTTGTTTTGATACCACGAATCGCGATGGATGCCGCTTACTTTTCGAAGGCAATACCTAGCTATTTGTTGAAGTTATCGTGGATTTCACCAATTTGGTTATTAGAAAAATTCTGCAGTGAGCCATGAAGCCGGGCTGCAAAGCGGGTAAGCTGTATTTAGGACGAAATCTGCTCCAGTGGTTCGATTTTGGTGTAGGCGAAAAAATCGCGAATGCTCGTACATGTGCTGATTCAAACGGTCATAACTTTTGAAAAATCGAAAACGTACAGGGGTTTTTGCATATTTTTCCCTATAAAGGTCTAAACTTAACGGCTGTGTAGGATAGAATCGTCAACCAGGTCCCAAATCCCGAAACTTAGCGTCTAAATCAAGGTTATTTACGGCCATCGGCCGATGGCGATTTCTAGTGGTCAGAATATGCTAAAATTCGCCTTTTCAAATTTGTTGAGAGGGCAAATTCTAACTTTCTTGGCAAACTAGAAAGGTTTTTAAGCAATCTGATATAAATTCTGTGGCTTAACTATGCGAATCAAATATTTTACAACGTTACAAAATATGCCTATTTTTCAATTTTCGAGACGTTGCGACGGTCCCTACGGACTGGGAAATAATTATGGCCCGTAATGCAGTCAGAAAATTATTTCGAATCAAACCAAATCTAATTTAGTTCTTTCCTAGGTAAAGTCTTTCTGTTAACAGAGTTTCAGGCAAAATTATTTTTGACGCAAAATTGACCGGGTGGAAATAAGAGAGACAGCCTCTTAAGTACTCACCTAGGCTAGAAGATGAAATTTTCTAAGAAAGAGTTCATAGCTGTGGCACAGAATCAAGACAAAACATTTTCTCGTTTAATGACGTGAATCGTGAAGTTTAAAACACGCGACGAAACGATCTACACCTCGGCAATAAAAATCATAAACTTGAGTCAGATTTTTGTAGTTTCTTGAAGTCGAAGGAGCTAAATGTTTTCACTCGCGCTTTGCCGAAAAGTGGCTTTCTCTTTTCTTGACCGTGAACATCTAGTGTTTAAGAGATCTAAAGGCGAAGAGACATTATGACACTTCGTATATCGTACGTGCTGCTCTTATTGAAAAGGGCCTGGAGACTAGTTAATTGCAAAAGAGGTGTTCCGGATGCACCAGAACTGTGCGCACGCAGAAAAAAAAGTATTTGAAGAAAACTTCGTTTACAAACTTATCACTGGGAGAATTCGTTTGGTTTTTAAAATCCCTTCGAAAGACTCATTATACAAGACGAGAACAAGAATACTTTACGACCACAAAAATGTCTCTGGATTTCAATTGAATAATATATACTGATTTACTGCGAATATTTAACAGTTGAATGAAAGAGAAGGAGGAAAATGGCATCTTCATTTTCGCATAGTTCGTTTTAACTTATTGCGATGTTTCAAAAGAATAGTAATATTTCAGTCATTGCTGTTACAGACAGTTCCTTCGTTTTGCGTCAATCTGTCTTGCAGTTTTGTGGGAGCGGTTTTGTGTGCCCTTTGAAGCATCAAGCGAAAGAGCCATGAGAAGTATGGAACGGATATAAAAGTTTACTTCCTGCAGCTCCGCACAAAAAAATCAATGGCGACGAACCAGCATCAAACCGCATTGTCTCTTTGCACTCGGGAAGGAAACAAATCATAACATCATCTTTACGTGCAAACTGCAACTTTCAATCATTAAAGGAAAAACTTTTCACAAGTTAGGAGTGGGGCGAATTTAAAGGGGTTCTTTGTTCCCCTTAAAGAGATCTGGTCGTATTCTGGAAACATGAAATAAGTCATAATGTGACCTACAGACAAAACAACGAGAGACGAATTCATATTTGGTCCTGATAACGCCCAGATAAGCGAGCAGATCTTGAAGAATGCCCCTGTGACTGATTTTGTGGGAAGACCTTCACAAGGGTGCTCCAGATTTCCTACAGCCGAGGAGAAGGAAAAGCCACCATTTTATCGCTTGATTCTCAATTGAAAGATAGAGGTTCAAATTCAAAATGTATTAATTTATATTGAAATTCATCTTGTGAAAGTTTCATAGAAAGTCACATCGTCGCGGAAGGGGACTAAGCCTTGCTGGACCCAGACCCAACAACATTCTTGGAGTTGCTCGGATCAGTTAAGTTGAAAATGGCGGGTATTGTGAATGTCAGTGATCACGACTAGGAACATTTGATCGGAATTATGTAACGATAAGAGTATTCCACACTTTTCAGAGGTGTAATGGCTTCAAATCCTGCTACTGATGACCTTGAAGTTTTTGAAGAATGATCGAAATGATCGCGAAAATGAGAACGTCGAGAGTCAGGAGAGTCGGATCGCGAAGAACAAGAGATGGAGGTGGACGTGGGTGAAGGTGAACAAAAAAACGAACGCGTTCAGGAATCAAGTGAGAAAATAAAGCGCCAGATGCAGTCGTCGATTCAAAATGTGATGCCAGCGGTCGCTAGAAATGTACAAGTTCTTGGAGTGTTAGCAGTGAATTCCTCAGACGAGTTTCAAATGAAGTCCTCGAAAACAACCGCTAAAAACTGCAAAAGATAAAAATACTAGGTCACCGGTTAAATCACCCGAAAAAGATGATGATGCAAGTTTGCTGAGTCTGAGCTTTAACCAAATAGCAAAATTATAGCAGACATTTTGCGTAACAGGATAGTCATTGGCATGTTGTTGATCTCGCGAAAACGATCCCCTCCCTTCTTATCAATGTTGCTAGCTGACTATATCCATGTTCACAACTTAGATTAGAAAATCTGAATTCAGGACAAGGGGGGTGGATGTTAGTCTGCGCTGCCGATCTGTGATGGCTATAGATTTTGGTAAAAAGCTGGTTTTTACATGAACTCTTTGAAAAAATTTCATCCGACTGTAAACTATTTTTAAACTATTAATTTTTTAAATGCAGTAGCTTTTACCTTGGCTGGTCTGTCTTTTTCTGACATGATGGCTGACTCAACTGTATGTGACATCATATTTACTACTTAATGGTAATTTTTCTCTCTTGTCTTTTAGTCCCAAAGTTGTCCAATTTGTTTTGACACCATGGTCAAACTCAGGTTCTCACAGGCTATCATCTCTCACTTGTGGGCATCTCTTTGGAAGAAGGTAAATGTTTTGATGAGATGGAGTTCTTTTAACTGAAAGGCTCAAGTACTATCTGCTGTTGAGACATTGAGCTCTAGCTGAGAGTCTCCTCCTTTTGTGAATCTGGACTAAATCTAAGAAAGTGGTGAAAATGGATTCTAATTGATCCCAAGTGAATGGTTTTAGGATTTTCATGATTTAGTGAATGAATTTATGTATGACAAACTAAAAATTATCCTACATATATATATATATATATATATATATATATATATATATATATATATATATATATATATATATATATATATATATATATATATATATATATGCATGCATATATATATATATAAACTAGTGAGCATGCATATATATATATATTTTTTTTTTCTTTTTTTTTCTGAAAGCTGCAATGAAAGATGGTCAAAAGCCAAGGGAGGAAATAATAAATGTCCACAGTGCAATGCACCAGCAAGAAAAATAGACATAAGAAATATATACACAAAAGCCATCAAGGCTATAAATACAAAAGAATGTGACAGGGCACTGGCAGATCTGGAGAAGGAGAAGGGAGCTTGACAGAAGGCAGAAGAGAGAGAGGCTCGTGCATTGCTGCAATACCAATTGGCAAGAGCTGAATGTGAGAGAATTGTTGAACAACTCAAAAGACAAGAGCAGCTGGTTGTCAGTTTACAAAGGGAAAGGTAAATGATGGAGGAGACATCAGTGTATAGTGCATGACTGTGTATCTCAAAGTTTTAGACTTGTCAGTAGATTTTTGCATAATGTGTGAATCCTATCCTAATCTTAGGATAGATGATGAGGATTGATCTAGTGCCATTGTTCCAATAAATACTCCCTCTCTAATAAATGCCCTCTCCTCAAATCTGTTTTTGTGTCTGAGCACCCCTTTTTAAATAAGTGCCCCTATTGCATAAGCAACCTAATTCAAAAGAGTGCTCCTTGTACCAAGAAGAGCCTCTATTCTGATTTAGTGATCTGGTGGCAGTGCTGTCAGGACTCTGTTAGAGTACATGTGCATTAAGATCAACCGTGGTCACCTTCCTCTAATTTTACACTGTAAGTCTTCTTGCAAAATAATGCTCCCTTTCTCAGTCTGTTAACTTTTATGTCCATGTTGGTATTGTACTTTTGTTCAAATCGTGAACTCAAAGAGCAGGTCATGTTTTTGCTCCTGGTGCTGCTTTTTATTCAGTTTGTGTAAACTGAAGAAAATTGAAATGACAAAAATGTTTCTTGAATGAGCCAATCAGGTGTCAGAATGAAAAGTAAACTGCAGGCAACAATGGTAATTAGTTTAGTGTGGTACAAGGTTTGTTCGTAAGTCCTGAACTTTATTGCAATTTGCAATTTTGCAATTGACTTACTGGAATCAAAACAAAGTTTTCACCTGATCATATTGCTCTGCACCTTTGATTTCGACTCAGACTCTGTTGTAACTGAAAACCAGTGTTTAGTTGTTGATCATTTCCTCTACTCTTGTGACCTCAAATGTGTGATTCAGGGGTGATAAAGTAAGGAGAAATTAAGTGCTAGTCACTCTTGAAGGTTAAAGGTACAGTCTTTTATTAAATCTTCAGGTCCAGCTCGTGCTCTCAGTGCAGCTCAGAATCTCAGGGGGCATCAACAGCTGTAAGAACATTTGGGCAAAGCACCTCTAGTCAGAGGTTACTGTCAAGGAAATCATATGTTCTACAAACGTCTTTTCAAGTTTCACAGGTAAAGCTTGAATTACACTTACATGTATGTGCCACTTCTACATGTGAATACAGTAATAGACTCGTTTTGAGTGTTAGCCCTTCATAAGAGCGATTGGAGGAATTGTGGGTTGTGTGTAGGTTTATATGCAGAAAATGGAGTGACGTTATTGGTGGGAATATGGTGACAGAAACAAGAATAAATTAGTTAAATGAAAAGTGCTCATTGATACCATGGGGATTAAGAGTGCTAATATGAAAGATAAATTTTTGTTCTAGAGTTTTGTGGCTTTCCGAACTGCCTAGATATAGCAAAAGGCCCCAAACTGCCATATGCTGCTTAGAATGATCAGGGAAATTAAAGTGTCTAGCGACTGGTTTGGATGTGTCCTTGTCATTTCTCTCTACATCGCAAGGGTGTTCTTGGAATTGGTCACCAAGTCATCTTCCCGTTTCACCAATGTATAACTTTTTGCAATAATTAAGTGCAAGTTATATAGTACATGACATTAGCAGAGGTGTACGTGAAGTGATCAATGATCTTGATGGATCTCTTGGCCAGAAAATGTTGGAACCTGAGAGATAGATGTAACTTTACTTTTCTGTCTGCTGCACCATCAGAGCTAAGAATTTGTATTATCTGGCCAATGTTTGACTTATTAGTAAGAGTAATACTATCATTTCCTCTGACTTGTTTTCACTAGAATGGAGCAAGAGTGATTTCTTTTGATCAACACCATGCTGTACTAGTTGTGTCCAAGCCTTCACCAAACCAGCTCTTTCCTGGATTTGGTGTGGTAAAGGTATGTAAAAGACTCTGGGATTATTACTAACAGTATTTAATTTTATGCTATCTCATATTTTACTGTATGGCCTGCTAATTCAAAGGCTTGTTTGAATTGAAATCTTCTCCTTGTATGTTAACTCAGGTAAGGTAAGGTAAAGTAAATATCTTTTCTTAATAACCTCAATTCCTTAGTCTTTACTGTGATTTTTAGAATCTTGTTCTTTTCTCCTGGATTTATGATTTGTAAACTTCACTTGAGTTGATTAATTATGCTATGCAATCTTTTTACATTCAGTAGAAACTGTAAGACTTGAAATGAAAAGTCTATGCATTAAATCCAAGGTGACTTATAGCCAACGGTCTCACCGTCTCACCTTTCCAGAACATGTTTATGTACTTGTTTTATAAATTTTTCTTTAATATGTTTGTGCAAATTTAGGTGAGCTCTTTAGATTCAAAGCATTGTGAGTTTGTGCGCATTCACCAGAAGGCCGTCCGTGATGTGGCATTTAACAACAGAGGTGATGGTTTATTGTTGACAGCAAGCATGGACAAGACTGTCAGGGTCACCAGTATGCTGAGCAATGCTGTTGTACAGACGTGAGTGGAGTAAAGAGTATTAAGAGAAAAAAGAATTAGTACTTAGTGCAATTTTTTATGTAACAAGTACATGTAGGTTCCATGCTGCCATGTGTCTGTCATGTAATAGATCACAGATCATGTCAAAATGTGGTAAAAACAAAAAGTGGCACATGAGGCTCAGCTGATTGTGTCACTGATGTTGTTTATCCATGACTTGAAAAGACCTACGGAAATAAAGAATCTATTTGTTTTATTTGATAAAAAGCAAAATGTCGTCAATGGTGATGTCATCTATGTGTCTGTCCTCCAATAGATCAATAGTAAGCACCAATAAATGTATGCATGATTCAACTCATCATATACAAAGTAATGTGTTTTAGTCAATGAGGACAAGGCCTGAATCAACTGCAGGTACATGTATCATGTATGGTCTGAGGCCAGCATTGTATTGAGTTTAATTTCACTGGTATAACATTTTGCCTCACCCAAAGTTCTCTTTGGTTTAAGTGTTAGCAAATTATTGTGTTTTGAATCATAGTTACAATACACCAGTTCCTGCTTGGTCATGTGCTTGGAATGAAGATGACACCAATTACATCTACTGCGGGCTACAGAATGGCACTTGTCTTATTTTCGACATAAGAAACACTGAAACTTACCTGAAGAGTATTCAGAATACAACAGGGGGTTCCTGTCCTGTCATTGCCTTGGCTCATGTGTCATCAGACCCTCATGGTGCCCTGAGGTGAGATCATGTCAAAACACATTTGGTAGTTTCTCCTTTACCCTTTAACTCACATGGATGACCAAGACAGAATTTCTCCTCACAATAGCCATACAATATTAAGTGCACAGGTAATGAGAATAAGAACAAATGTAAATTAGGGGATTATTAGTTGATCCAACACCAAATTCCTAGAGCTAACACCATAGGAACTGTATGACAGACAGTAAGGAGAATTACCCATGAGATCTTGGAGTGAAGGGTTAAAAACTATTAACAGTGTAGTAATTTTTTCAAGTAGATAGAAGTACATGTACTTTTCTTGAGTGAGTGTGAAAGGAAATTCAAGAGAGAGCTGCATTTTATTGCATCAAATTGACTCAAGGCAACAAAGAATTGATTATTGTTACTGCAGTAGTTGTTCATTAATGCTGTTGAGTGGGGTGTTGAGTGGTTGAGTTTGCAAGCAGGCTTCAATGTTGGCTCTGCAGAATAAGTGTTTCTCCACCTGTTGGAAGATTTGAGAAGAGATAGAGCAAGGTGTGCTAGGGGTGTGGCTGACTAGTTTGGCTCAAGGCCTTAAATTTATTTGTTTGCAAATAGGCACTTGTCTTAAAGTGCGTATTGTGAGGATGTGCTTGTATTGTCAGTGGAACACTTGTAGGAGAGAAAAATGTGTTTTGCCTTATGTTGTATAGTAATTGGTTGTAACATTTTGGAAGCTTTCTTTTTGTATCATCTGGTGATAAAAAATAATAATAATTGGTGAATGTTAGACTACCTTGTGACAAAGGTTTTTTTTGACTTGTATGTACAGTAGAATGAACAAACAACTACTAATCCAAGTCAAGTGAGAGCAGGCTGCACATAATAATAACTTTAAAGTCAAAACTACTAGGAATGTCAGCTTTGAAACTCTTTACAGTGGCCAATGCACATGATCATCTCAGTTGGTAAAACCAAAATTATCTTGTTATAATCCCCCACTGATGCAGCACCACAGTTTAGTTAGAAACTTACCTCCTTTATTATTAATAGTGATTAACTTGTAGCTGTTCCACACAGTTTTAATGTTATGGGCGTCAAACACTGTATTAGGTGAATGCCAAATGAAAGACAAATTCCCTGAGCAATTGCATCCACATGAAAAGAAAAAAAAACACATGTATGCATGCAGGAGAGAAAGAATCAAAATACACATATTTGTTTCAAAACTTTTGCATGATTGATTTTTTTTCCAATTTACAGAATTCTGGGGCATTAGTTGCAAACCATGCATATAACTAATGTAGAAGGGAAATGCATAATTACTTAAAGAGAGGGGTTGAATGGACACTTCAATTTACTTGGGGATACTCTTTTGCCATTTTTTTTTTTTTTTTTTTTTTTTGCAGACCTGGAGGAATTCTTGTTTGCAAACTTGAAGGAGCTTCTTTCTGGGAAAAAACACCTGGAGCTGATTTTGTCCCCCATTGCCTAACTCTTCCTGAAGGTACTTGACTGTATTAGAGAAAATGACAGATCTGTAAGGGGAAAACTGTCATGTTATTTGCTTAATCGTCTTTACTTAGGGAAAAAGTTGAATGTGAATTTCTGAAATTTTCTTTTCAGCACAGTTACACTGTATCACTTTGTGAGTTGACCATATTCTAACAAAACCAATCCCAGGATGAAAATGCCATCACCTTTGTGAAGGATATGTGTTATGTACAGTGTTCACATGTGTGGGCAGTTAAAACTTGTTTTAAAAATGATGCTTGGTTTTGGCCCTTAATTCCTGTAGGTGGTTAACATGTACATGGTGTGAGTTCTCTTTACAACAAACACATCAAGCCAGACCTTATTTGCACTTAGTTTATAACACACTTGTACCCGTACCATAACACATTATCATGGGTTAAATTCCTTTTTGTCTCATACTGTTTAGGGTCTTGCACCAGTTTATCCTTTGAGCCATCAACTCGTCATTGTTTGTTTTCTCTTCGCCCCTCCAAGAAATTCCCTCAAACAAGACATTTGGTAGGATTTTCTTATCTTGTGCAGTTCATTTTTCAAATGAATGTGTACCACATGTTAATTTTTTACTTAATCTCAAGGTTAAACTATGATGTAATTATGTTTAATCTGAGCTGGATAAAAGTTTAGCCAGTGAGATAAAATAAGAGTCTTTGTTGGTGAAGTGTCTCAAAACTGTTGAGGAAAATGCAAGAAACTCTTTAGGTGGCCAATTTACAATAAGATCTCAGTTGTTAAAACCAAATTATCTTGTAATACACACACCCCCACCCCCACCCCAACATTTTTTTTGCAGGGAAATTAAAATTTTATGTATCCGTAGATGTAGGGATAACATGATTTAATTCATGCTGTACATGTATGTAACAGTTTTACTAATTAAAAATACAGTTTACTGTAAATGTACTAGGCTTGATCTGAAAGCCTTTGCCTCCTAGAAGTGACTATCATGAATTATCTTATAATTTCAATGAATCTAGCTGGAAGGAATGACATACAGTGGGATGGTGTTGCATGTGTCTTGATATGAAACCAGATTCTCATTAGCAAGTCACAAGGGGATTTTGTGATTTAGGTTAAGTTAACAACTGTATACAATTGGAATAATTATTGTTAATATTATATACACTGTATGGTACAACACACATAGGTTTGTCAGTTGCAAGGTAAAGGTGTGGGTGTATCAATGGCCCGAGCTCAAGCAGAAAGAGCAGGGAATATGGAGGATGGTGAGGATGGTATGTACATTGTGGCTGTGTGGGAAACATGAATACTTACTGGTACTGGTAGTTATTGATAATAAACATCATTGTTTAAGGGTGTTCAGGAAAGGGTGTCTGATAAAAACAAAGAATTGACTTGGTTTGGTTTTAAGTAGTGTTGCAGCTGTTGGTGTGGAATCAGATGAGTTGATGGTATGGATTGAAAGAGTACAGATATGAAAAGAGGAATGTTACTCACCATTGCTCTCATACTCTGCCATTCAATTTTGTTTGTATTCTTGTACTATATGCTGGTACAACTAACCAGCAGTGCAGGCTGAATGATCCTGTACATGTATTTGGCTTGGCAATAATTACAAACTCTTGTGTTCTACAATCATGTTATTTTCAGATGCCAGCCTCTGTACCTGTCAAGCTGTCAATCAATGTGTTGGCGGCCCAACACAAAAGCTTCTCAGCAAATCCAGGTTATTCACTTGTCCTGATGATTGCAACACTCTGATGGTGGCAGCTGGTGATGAGAGCCTCTCATCGGTGAGTTTTCCTCAAGCTTTGGTGTATAGCAGTTTTATTATGTTCCTGTGCAGTAAATGATATCTGCAGTGTTGCACTTGAAGCTTGAACACATCAGGGGTAGCCAAGAGTGATGATAAATTTAACCCTTTCACATTTAAGATCTCAAGAATTACCCTCTTTCCCCACATGTATCAACAGCTTCTTACAATGGAAGGTCTTTATTGTTTGATATCAGAAGCTTGATAGTTTTTTTTTAAATTCTGATTACCTGCTTGCTGTCTTGGTAATTTAAGTATTTTTTGGCCACTTCTGAAAGTGAAAGGGCTACATGTATGCTAAGAAAAGTCTTGAAAAAACTACATGTGTAACCAAAATTATTTACTATTATCTTCATGCAAAAATGTTCTAAAATATGTAAGAATTTGTGTCATTATGCTAAGAGAACAGAAGTATGTACATGTCATGATCTTAACAGCGGCATACCTCTCAGCCATAAGATTAAACATTCTATCCAAAAGACATTCTCAAGCAGGTACATGTACCCAGCATTGAGAAAATGTCTACCTTTTGTATGGTTATGTGGATGAACACCAACTTAGTGTGCAAAATGTTTACTTGTTTTTTTATTCCCTAGACTTTGATATGGAATGGCAGCAATGGAAACCAGCTGCAGAAACTACCCAACCAAGGAAAAGAGATATTAGATGTTCTTCCCTTTGCTGGCAATGGAAATGACTATCTGGCTACAATTGATGAGCAGAAATTAAGTGTTTACAAATGGACGAATGTATAAAAAATTATGGATGAATTCTGAATCACTCAAAGAACCCTTTTTTTTGTGTACCAATGTGTTGTAAGATCTGTGTCTACAATTGTACATTAAAGGCTATGGGAAGAGAAGAAAGCAAACAAGTTCTATGGAATCTGCAGCTTAATTCTTTTGTGTCCTTTGGGGAGGAGAATGCTAATCTGCAGAGCTGAAGGTACTCTTTCAAGCACACCACCAAATATTTCTAAGGGAATGAGAAGATGATTGAAGTATGTCAGTGGGACAAACTGCTGTTGTATTGATGTTCAGAACAGGACTGCTGGAATGGTGAAAAGTGTTAAGAAAACAACAGCTCAGTGCTGGTCCATAAAGATGGAACAGATTATCCAAATTTTATGAATATCTCTAATGTATTAAACTGTGAATAAGTTGTTCAAGTTCTTGCATTTATCACTCTATGTTAATCTTGTTTCCATTATTAAAGAATGTAATTTTTGGATTCAATGCCTTTGGCTTTGTCTATCGATGCACCATTCAACAACATACATGCTACTGAGAGACGCATATTAAGTGTACACTTGCAAGGTTGCCAATTATGTTTTAAACAAAAGAATGACAGTAAGAAGTTCTAAAAGAAATTGTGGCGTAACATTGCTGAGGGGTATTACAGGATAATTTGGTTTTATCAGCTTAAGTGAAGTTGTAAATTGGCCACCATGATGAGTTTCTAGCACTTTCCCACCAGTATTGTAAGTACCTGTTGATACCAGGTTGCAAATTGGCCACCATGAAGACTTTCTAAAGATGTTTCAAGTGCTAGCCAGCCCTTTGTCAGAGCAAAAATTGAGAGACACTTACTCTTCCAGAACAACATGAGGAATGTGCCACCAAGCATTGGGTTTTTATTTTTTATTACTTTTTTTCTCAGTCAGCTCTTGTGTAACCTTAACCCTTTGACTCCTAGAACTGATTAACACCAAATTTCTCCCTATTATATCCATTCATTATCCAATAAACAGGTGATGAGAAAAATCAAACTTATCAGGTACATTTAGATGTACCTTGATCTAGCACCAAATTCTCTCAGCTAATTTACTATGAAATGTGTTGCAGCTATAAAGGAGAATTGATAATCAGATCTTGGGAGTTGAAGAGTTAAGTTAAATTATGGGGACAAAGGAAAAGGTGACTTTCAGGCTTTCACAGTACTTGGGAAATGCTTGCTACATTTGATGTGAGCAAATAAGTCATTCCTAAGATCTTAGAGAGGTTCTTACAATGTATTAATAAACGTTTGTATTAAGTTGTAACAGTTTTTAATTTGACATTTGCACAAGCACATTATTATAATATACATTGTTTGGATGGGAAAACATTAAATTCAATAACTGTAAGTAAAAAGTGGTTTTCTCAACTACTAATTGGCTAGTTTGGAAGTTAACAGCAATTACCACACACCTCTGAGTAGCCAATGAGACAAAATTGCACATCAAGAGTTAAATTTCCAACCATTTTTTGGTATACTGGAGAAATACACTAATTTTTGGTATATGTGTGGTATACACTTAGTCTAAAAACAATTATTCACCTCTGCGTTGGTGAAAGTGGATATTTATCTCACCACTTTGTGGTGTGGTATGTATCCACCAGTATTCACCTCCACTGTAATGAATAATTGTTTATTGTAATAAATATCTTAGTAAAATAATTTTATACAACTTATGAAATAACTTGAGTGAAAATTTTAACCTTACAATTACTTTCTTCTTAATACTAGTAAATTTTTCATACTCCTTTTAAAAGTATATTTTAATATATTCTTGAACACATAACTTACCATATTTGACTGACAGGGAACATTTAAGGTTAACTTAACTGAGCAAAACATTTTTTTGGTCAACTTAGGAAATTTCCATTAACTGATAAAAGTCAAGTTATATCAATTTTACAGAAGTGTTTGAGAGGACAAACAGGTACACACCTTGGTATGATAATCCCAAACTAGCATGCTTATGAATTTTTTCCTGAAGGACACCCATGAAGGTGCAAAGTAACCTTAAGCACCCATAAACCCACCCTGATTGAGTCTCCAGCTATTTCCCTTCTGAGTGGCTATCATGCTCTGTGTACTGCAAGAATGCCTGGAACAGGCCAAGGAATGCATCCATACCAGTGAAGTAGATGATGTCACTGCTGTGTGTAAGAGATACACACAGGCTAACTGTAAGAATGCAAAGCCAATCATAGGAGGAACTCTTGGACTGGCAAGTGTGGAGGTTCCATACAGTAAATTGCTAATCACAAGATAAGTTTCACAAAAATAATTAGCCATACAGCAGTAGGAAATTATTCAGGTAGATAACAATATCCAGGAGGTGCCCCTTAAAGCTTTTACTGGAGCTTTGAAGGTTCAATCATATGCCTGTTGACATTACGTGCTCCAATCAGCAAACAGCCACAGAACAAAGATGCCAGCTCAAGACAAACAAAGACACCTCCCCAGTCGTACACCTTACTGATTGTCGTCAGATGATTCCTGCCAGTGTTGCTCCCACTAATTAAAAAAATGAAAAATGTAAGAAGAATTTTAAAGCACAAACTTTGAATTTTAGTTTTGGCAATTTTATGTAATTCCACTCAAGAATAGGGGAAAAAAAAGGGGGAAATTGTTTTTTTTTTTTTTAATTTGCTGACAGTGGGATAGAGTTCCTTGCTTTTTTGGCAAGTGGCTTTTGATTCAGTACATGTAGAAGGACACGATTGTGGTATTTGGTTTTAGCTAGTAATGTGGACTCACAAGGCAGGTGTGAGAAAGTTTTTAGCATGGGTTAGATCAGTAATGTTTCACACCAGAAACTTGGGAAACACAGAAGATGAGTAACAGTTGGTGAGTTTGCATATTAAGCTTGCACATTAACCCTTTACTCACTTACATCAGTATGCATATTCTCCATACTGTTCTTCAAGGGTGCTAGCAAGGAATTTATTTAACTGTTTCACTATCAAGACTGCATTTCTTAGCAATTCTCATTACTGGAATTTATTTAACTGTTTCACTATCAAGACTGCATTTCTTAGCAATTCTCATTACTGTCCATTATACAATGTTTTTAGTGTTAGTGAGGAGAATTTGGTGCTCAATCAATGAGTAATCCACTGGTAATTGATATTTATCTTTATTCTCCTCTCTTGTTTGCTTGACATTGTTTTGATATTGTAAGGAGAAATTCTGTTTTGATATTTATCTTTATTCTCCTCTCTTATTTGCTGAACATTGTTTTGATATTGTAAGGAGAAATTCTGTTTTGGTCACCCATGGGAGTTACAGGGTTAGGAACCAAGAGCTTTTTTTGTTAGTTGGTTACCATTTCCTTTATTCTCATGACCTTAATGTTTGATTCAAGGGTGATATTGTAAGGAGAAGTTAGATGCTAATCACTCTTAGGGGGCAAAGGGTTAAAAGATTAAGTTAAAAAATACTGTTTAAAGATGAATCCTGCAAACTGCCTATGCACAAGACTTGGAGTAACAATGCCATTGCTCACCATTTGCAGCTAATGCAACAATTGCATGAGATGTTCCACTGAGTCCTGGTGGACTGTTCTCCATGGCCAGCACTCCATACAGATTTATTGCTGTGTATAATGAGAAGCCTATGCCAAATATCAGTGTTGAAATAAACCACTGCAACAGAATGAGAGCAAATTAAGTGAGTGCTGATACTTCATGACTTTGCCTTAAACTTCCAAGATCTGATTCTTCCATTTAGATGCTACACATTTCCTTGTAAATTATGGTAAATTATAAGAATTTGGTGTTAGGTCAAGATAATGTGTTCTACCTGATAAGTTGCCTCTTTCTGTTTAAAGTACCTAGAGACATTCTTAAATATTAATTTAAATTTGAATGAAATGGCAGTTTAAATAGCAAAAGTACCAACACTCTCACACACTTTACTAAATGGAGACTATAGAAGGTAAGTTAAAAGACATGAAGAAAACTCAGTGTAGTTTTTGAGAGCATGAAGAGTCCATCTATAATATAATTATCAACAGTTTTGTTATAAGCAAAATTTATCAAGGTTGCATCTACTGTACAATCTGTATCAACTGCTAATACATTGTCATAATGATGAGTATAAATGTTAACAACTTCTGTTTACTTCAAACCCTTTCACTCTACAGTGTACTACTAAAGATCTTGCTGGTAGTTCTCTTCACTGTTTATGGTGCATTTCTCCTCATATTTGTTTGGCAAATTCATTGTTAAATTATATTGTCTCAGTTGCTACAAATACTGCTGCAGTTGCTATTTTTCTTTATTCTCATAACCTTCCTGCTTGATATTGTATCAATACTGTTGGGAGAAATTACTTCTCAGTCAATCCAAGGATTGAAAGGATTAAGAGTAAAATAAACGCGGCTTATACTATTTTGCAGCAGAATCAAAAAACGAAACGAAATCCAGATGAAATAAAACAAAAGAAATAATGCAGATGTATTTGCTGTAAGTGTAAAGATACACAAAGATTTTGGAGTAATCATTTATTAACAAGAAGGATTTTTATTCATTTCGCAAAATAGTAATTTTAGGAGAGTTACTATTTTGCGAAATGGACTATTTTCACCCCTGCGGTGACAACGTGACCTCTTTCATGTCACGAGAATACATCTAAACATTACAAATTAGTATATCAATGAACATTTTGGCCTCCTCTTATTTCTTAAACCGTATTAAAATGTATTTCGCAAAATAGTAATTTTAGGAGAGTTACTATTTTGCGAAATGGACTATTTTTACCCCTGCGGTGACAACGTGACCTTTTTTCATGTCACAAAAATACATTTAAACATTACAAATTAGTATATCATCGAACATTTTGGCCTCCTGTTATTTCTTAAACCGTATTAAAAGTATATTGCAAAATAGTAATTTTGAGAGTGACTATTTTGCGAAATGGACTATTGACCCCTGCGGTGAAACGTGACCTCTTCATGTCACAAAAATACATTTAAACATAACAAATTAGTATATCACCGAAAACCCTTATTTTTAAATGTATTAAAATATATTTCGCAAAATATAGCTACTATGTTAATAACCCTGCGGTGCAGTGAACCTCTTTCACGTCATGAAAATACATTTAAACATTACAAATTAGTATTCACCGAACATTTTGGCCTCCTCAAAGTTAAACCGTGAAAATAATGATCGCAAAACAGATTCAGGAGAGTTACTATTTTTTTTTCCAAATTTTCACTGCGGTGACAACGTGACTTCAGAAAATACATTTAACGCACTTTTAATTACAAATTAGTATACATAATCTTGGCCTCATATTTTTTTAACAGATGAAAATTAACTTCTCCAATAAAAAGAAGAATAACTGACTTACAAGTAAGTTCTTGAAAAGTTTTTTACTCAATAACTTTCTTTTCGGGTCACATACTTTAAGCATTTCATTATAGTTTATTCTCAGCATATTTCTCTATCCAGTCTAATTA